TTAAAATAGACCTCGGATGTGACTCGAAGCTATTGTTTGCCGTGACTGTATTTGACCCTTCGATCTCGCCAGCACATGACCGTCACGTGATGTAAAAACGAAAACCAAAGAGTGCACAAACAAGGCACCAAAAAACGTTCATCCGCGAACGACTTTATTTGGGCGGAGGCCCATGTGCTGTAGTAGGGGGATATGTTACCCTCACAGCCGCATAGTCTTGGCGGTTAGGGAAAGGGGCAAAGTTTGACGATTGCTAAAAGTGCACAAATGTAGAATAAAACTTGAAATTATAAAACAGTTATGTTTCTTTCGTAAGAGTGTTTTATTTAATATGCCTGGGGTGTTGTTGTTTTACCGACTGAGATTACTGCAGCTCGATTTAAACCACGATTTTGTATGATTTTGGAAAAACAACAACATGTAAACCGAGTGATTATAACCTTGTTTATTTAAGATGCATATCGAGTATTTTCTTCATATAACCTAGTGACAAATAGTGCGTGTATTGTTGGTGGGGTCTGGAAGACACGATATTATAGTCTAAATTAACGACTCCGGGTAACAAATATTTTCTGAGATTTGTTTGCTTTACGAAATACGTTTTTTCATGTTGTTCTGCTGTCATGTGTGAAGAGAATTCCCTTGTGAAGTAACTGGGCCACGTGTTACTTTAGATCTTCCGGTCTTTTTGCATGACTCGATGACTATCTTCAAAGATTTTCCCTGAACTTTGAATAGGTCTGTATTTCTATAGCTGACTGTCCTCTCGGGTATTTGGACAACAAGAAGCACGTTGAAGTTGTTTTTTCTCTCTAGTTTTGTGTTTTTTAATCAATATAAAAAAGTTCAGAGACAGTACAATGTTGTGTATGCCAGATGCCAGCCAGATGAGTCTGTGAGAAGGGGGCGATTCATTCACAAAACACATCACAGGCTCAGTCTAAAATGCAATGTAACCGCACCTGTCACCCCTTGTTTGACTTAAACGTTAACTATTATATAGATTTAATGGAAAGCATGTTCATCAGCACAAACTGAACTCAACCGCTGAAGCCCTATATAACCGGACCAGCGGTATTGAAACCTCATTATGGTGTCTGCCAGTAGCCGAGTCGGACGTTTGGACAGTACACTGTGTGTGTTTCTTCACGGTACGCAGTGTGTGTTTGCTAAGGAAAATGAATACTATTCAATACACATACACGTTCCTTTCCAACCTCTCACTAATGATGAACTGTTTAAATAAGACAAGAACTTATAGAGTTTATATATTAGTTTTTTATACCCTTTTATTTGTAAAAGCGATTTTTAAGAAGCGGATGCAGAGAAATGAAGGTTAAAGCTACGTTTTATATATTCAATGTATTGATATTGTTGTCTTGATATTCAGTACAGTGAGTTACTTGTACATGGTGATGTTTAAACTGCCGATTTTGCAGTTGTGAAAGATGGGCATACGTATTGTATGTGTGCTTTGTAGAGACACTTGGTTACACTGAAATATACTGTCAATATCAGGCTGAGCAAGATCGTCGTCATCATCATCATCATCATCATCATCATCATCATCATCATCGGGGAAATCGGTCATGGCACACGCTTTAGACGTAACGACTATCGGTGCAGTGACGGCTGGTCTGGATGCTGGTTGTCTTGGCCTAGATTGTGGTGGTGCGGGTAGTGCTGGCTATGTATGAGTGGATGACGACAGTGGGGCAGGAGAATCTGTGTCCTTTGTTATTGAGGCAGTCATGGTGCGTCCCATATCAAACTTCTCATTGTGGGTCACTTGTTGGTACACAGCCAGAGAAGAAACATATTTATGGCCTGTCACAGTCATTATTCGGGCCAAACGAAACACTTGCCCCAGTCGCCCCAGTGGAGTTATTTTTGGTGATCGCTGACAACTATGCATCTCTGCTGAGCTTTGACATAAATATGCTGAGCGTTTTCCCCCGACATGCCCCCCTCGACGTCCTTGGGTCTTTGCCACAGACGTGGACAGTTGGGATGAAGCAGACTGAGATACTTCTCAACTGAAGCAACAGGGCAGTAGATATTGCCAGGAGGTTCAGGCATAATTGCAGAAAATGTCTCACAGTCCCTTTCACGGGGATTTTTGGTAAGTTCATCCTCTTGTTTCTCAACATATTTCAGACCAGAATGATAGATTTCTATCTTGAACGTATCCTTTGTCATTGCCTGCATGTTTTCTGTTCCACGTCTAAAGAAATACAACCTAATATCAAACTGAATCTTTGTTGAGAAGCCCTGTTGGTGTAGTTGTTGACATAAACAGAGATTGAAACAGCTTTTGTCTGTCGTCTCCTGAGATCATTGGATGGTGATCAATATTGCCTTTTCCCATTCTCTTCCGTTCAGCCAAGGCAGCTTTGAACTTTGCGTTAGCATCATTGAATCTGGCATCTTTAATAATATCAATAACTTTGTTGATATGTGGGGTACCTAGATAGCAATTTAGAGAGTGACTGAAGTTTTCAAACAACTTGCCTTGTATATAGTGGTCACCGTCCGGTTTCCTCGCATCCAAATAGAGGTGAGGTGAAATAGGGTTTAACGTCGCGTCCAAGATTATTGCACTTATATAGCGACGTGCATGCACGTGTGTGGGTTTGTGTGGTTTGCTTGTACTAGTCCGGACTGATGCCGATTTATAGTGCTAGCACACTGAGATACCAAGCCGCAGTTTAACATGAATATCCCACTCAGACACAGTATACTGACTCCGAGCCGACCAGTCCTTGTTTTAGCCCCTTAATGCCGAACGCCAGACAGGGTAACACAAGTACCATCTTTTAACGTCTTTTAGTATGACGCGGCCGGGGATCGAACCCCGGACCTTCCGCTCTCCGGGCGGACGCTCTACCACTAGACCACGGAGCCGGTCGCATCCACATAGAAATAAGACAACACTACATCCAGACGCATAACATCGAAATTTTCAAAGTCTAAATCCTGTTCCTTCCCTCTCAAGTAATCTCAAAGGGAGACCACTCTTCAAACCTTAGAGGCCAAACCTTGTTGAAAACTTTAACTGGAACATCACAATTAATGATAGTAAAACACAAAATAGTGTCAAATAACGAATTTCGGTAACAGAATTTCCATGTGAAATATGTGAGGTGGGTGTTGGAATATCCAAAATGGCTGTTACTGACGGTATACGGTCTCATATTAAGTCAGTATCAACCATCTTGGATTTTTACTAACAGTATACGGGCTCATGTGGGTTAGTAGTTCTGCTCTCCGATTGGTCAATCTCACTTTGAGGCTTAATATAGATAGTATGCTCCTCTGATAACATCTAGTTACGTGTAATTTGCCTTACCTAAATACCTGGCTGATAAAAAAAGCCATTCTGAATATTAAGAATGAAGATACAAAATGTTGTATTTGCTTTGTTCTTGCAGCCTTATATCCTGTAAATAAATCGAATGTTGCATACAGAGTGAGTAAATACATCATATGCGATTCCGAGTTTTCTCTACTTGGCATTGAGATGCCCGTATCTTTATCTCAAATTCCTAAATTTGAAAAACAAAATCTAATTTCAATCAACGTGTTTGGCCATGATAAAGAAGACGGAGTCGTTCCCCGCCATATTAGTTCACAGAATTTCAAGAGAACTGTCGTCTTTCTTCTGAGAAACGTGAAGATCCGGGGTAGAATAGGTCCTCAGCAACCCATGCTTGTCGTAAGAGGCGACTAACGGCATCGGGTGGTCAGGCTCGCTGACTTGGTTGATGCATGTCATCGATCCCACTTGTGTGGATCGATGCTCATGACATTAATCACTTGATTGTCTGGTCCAGACTCGATTATTTACAGACCGCCGTCATATAGCTGGAATATTGCTGAGTGCGGCGTTAAAGAACAAACCAACCAACTTGTTAGTCAGGGGGAAAAGAGACATTACTGTTTGATCTGACATTTTAGGCGTCTCATTGGGGACAGGACTAAACACTGTACATCAACAATGTATTGCCGATGCTGTCTACATGACTTCATTAGGAACGATCTTCTAGAAAACCAAATTCCATATTGTTTTAACCATGGTCTTCAAAAAGTGAAATTACCCAAAAGTGAGGAAGAAAGTTGGCTAACATTTAAGAGCATCCAGAAACAATTTAGGGCTCTTTTTGTGATGTATGCAGATTTTGAATCCATTACAAGGAATGTCAGTGGATGTCGACCAGTGAAGATCCGGGGTAGAATAGGTCCTCAGCAACCAATGCTTGTCGTAAGAGACGACTAATGGGGTCGGGTAGTCAGGCTGACTTGGTTGATACATGTCATCGAATCCCAGTTGCGTGGATCGATGCTCATGATCTCAATCACTGTATTTTCTGGTCCAGATTCGATTATTTACAGACCGCCGTCATAGAGCTGGAATATTGCTGAGTGTGACGTTAAACAAGACACGGGACTCAAAACACAAACAAACTTTATAGATCAAAGTGTACGTAACGCCTGCTCTCCGTTGGGCTTCGATACCCCACATCCAATGTTAACAAAGGATAACTACTCACGTGGAATTAGCCCCCACGTATTAGCCTGAGGGAGCAGTCCGTTCACGACTAACTTAAGATATGTATTGCTATCGTTCCAAAACAATCACATTTCTAAAACTGAAAAAATATTAATGCATTTTGTTACTTTACTACACCTAGTATAGTATAGTATTGTATTAGTATATTTTTCTCTCGCTGTCTTTGCTTTGGGAAGGAAAACTTTAGCCACATAAAAATTACTGCTCCCCACAATTCCCCAGTGCACATTGTCGTGCTCTTCACTGTTGTAGTGAGATATGTATTAAATTACACATAATGAATATGTAAAGCGCACTGAAAAGGCCTGTAAAAGTCTGCTCTGATTTCAGAATAAGCACGCATGTTTACAAACAAGAGAATAATCTGGTCACGTGATACCCAAATTTGTTCGTGGCAGTGATTTAGCAGTGGAGTCATCACTGCGCATGTGTGTGATTCCCACTGCCGAGCGTCGATCATAAGCAGCGCTTTTTTACAAGTTTCACAACTGCGTTGTGTGGATACTGTTCTAAACAATTCGTTTAACAGGTAACGCTCGAGACGTGTGTAACTATATTGTGAGATGACTCGGTTTACATTTGTGTGGATGATTATACTGTTCTAGCTAGTTATTCTGCTCATGACACTTGGGTTCAACGTATGTTCAAACAACAAGCGTACATAGCCCAGATAATCATTCAAACGTGAAATAACGTTCGTCACGTGGACACATGTCGGTCGCCTTTTGCTTAGGCTGTAATTAACGCATGACCTTCCTCCTTGTCGGTAAACAACATACTCTGCACAATGCGGGTTAGTCATCCTTATAGATCAACATATTCCTTCAGTTAAAGTGGGCGGTTGGGCAGCCTAGTAGTAAAGCGTTCGTTCGTCACGCCGAAGACCTGGGTTCGATGTACGACATAGGTGCAATGTGTGAAGCCCATTTCTGGTGTCCCCTCCGTGATATTGCTGGAATATTGCTAAAAGGGGCGTAAAACCATACTCACTCACTCACTCTCAGTTATAGTAAGTTATTTAAAACATATCTCCTGATAATTGATTGTCTCAGCTGTTTTCTTCAGAAATATGAAAGGGTAGAAGTTCCTTCTTATATGGTGAGTGAGTGAGTGAGTTATAATTTTACATCGCATCGGCAATATTGCAGCCATATTGCGATGAAAACAAGTTAATTATTATTAAATACCTGTCGACAAAGGACAGTAAAACAGTAAGTCATGTATCACAGCTAAGGTATAAAACAAACCAGTTCACAATAAAAACAAAGAATTCTTCAGTAGATTTGGTACAGGGTAAAACTGGGCTATATACCACAGGCAACAAAAGCTAGACCCTATAACTGGGGATCACGGGACCTTCTTATATGGCTATATAGTTAATATGGCTATGAACTCCCATAATTGCAAGTACATAATATTTTCATTGTTATTAGTACTTAAACCACATGTTCAACTTGATCAGTGATTTCATGTTTTTTATACTAAAATAACCGGAATTATTTCACGTTTGAAATGTACTTAGGTTTTTTGTCTGGATCTGTGCATTATAACTGAGTGTAGTCGAATTATCCCACTTTGCCACAATGTAGTATAAATCGTTATATAGGTCATTATGACCGGCGGCATCTGTTGTGGTTGTTCTGAGATTTTTCACTGTTGGAATTATGTGGAGCAGTTATTTTAATGTGACAAAAGTTGTCCTGCTCAAATTAATAGAAGCATGAGAAGTGAGTGAGTGAGTGAGTATGGTTTGACGCCGCTTTTAGCAATATTCCAGCAATATCACGGCGGGGGACACCAGAAATGGGCTTCACACATTGTACCCATGTCGGGAATCGAACCCGGGTCTTCGGCGTGACGAGCGAACGCTTTAACCACTAGGCTACCCGACCGCCCCAGAAGCATGAGAAAGATATAATGAATATACATATACATAGATACACATCTATAGTCTCTGATAAGAAAATATTTTACAGAAAAAAAATTAAAAAATTCGTAATCTTAATATCGTCATATAAAAATAATAAAAGAGCTATCTATGCAAGGGGCGGATTTAAAGGTTGGGGTAGGGGTGGGCGGTTGAAGGGGTGCGGGTGTGTTGCGTCCCTGGAACACACTAGGAAACCTATGATTGTGACTTAGAATCCCGGTTCGCCCTGATTATGTTTTTAGGTTTGTCAGCACCATACCCGTGCTCGTGGGTTTCCCCGAATTTGTAAACGTCTGAGACCTGCATCACTTCGGGCTTTCCTCCCACATTAAGCTGACACGCCGTGATATAACTGGAATACTGTTATAAGCAGCGTTAAACCCAACTCACTCACTCACACTGACATTCTTACATGTTCAAATACATGATTGTCATTTCCGCATATTGTTATCTATAGGGCCCTGCACCATCACCATGCGACTGACGTAGAGGGTATTTTGTGTGACGTAGACGACTTTTGAGTGTCACTAGTTCATTGGGGGAATTAGCAGTTTGGAGCGGTCACAACTGGCTATCACCTCGAAAAACAAAGAAGTCTGCTGAGTTTTTGGTGTTTAATCGGTGGAAGCGTTTATGTTTCGGAGGTGAGTCCATGGCGCACAGATGACAGGTATCGTCTGCCCGTCAATGTAGGTCAAGGGAATTCCCTGATGACGTCACGGGAAAACACCCGACGCTTTCTATCTTCGACAGAAGAGAGCTCCCTGTCTAAGCCGCGACAGCTGTCGTCGCCGGGACACGGTTACGATAGGTTTAAGAATAGCTCTTATTACAGTCGTATTTTTTGTCGTAAGTCGCTAAGATTTGTCTTAGCTAAGACAGCTTCGTGAAAAGGCCGCCTGTACTCCTTCTAGGTTATCTATATACCCACGACAGAACAGAACACCTACTTCTATGACAGCACGTAACTATGGAATGATGTGAGGGGCATATACGTATAATAACAAAATATTATAATACGTGTGCAACAGGTGTACAGAGCATGGGCGGATACAGAGGGGGGCGCACCCCCCCTTTTTATTTCGAAAAAAATCTTTGTTTCTGTATAAATTACAACCAAGGACAATAAATAGATCTTAATTGTGCAACCCCCCCCCCCCCCCCCCCCCCCTTTTTAAAAAAAGCTGTATCCGCCCAAGCAGAGGCAGAGTCATATACATATTATCCTATACATAAAGTTATGATAATTCGATATTAATAATATCGGTTTACAACAATGAAATGACTATACATATGTATAATACATATTTAAGGGTTTATTTTATAGACAATATGTCAGGAAAACAGTACACACGCTGTCATGCGTGGATATTTGGATAAACATATTGTTATAACAAACAATAAAATACAAGGATGGAGCAGACTCATTTTTCATTGCTACTAAGTTGCAAGACATTGTTAAGAGTATGTGTCTCTTAGTGTAGGAACTTACTTGTTATTGACATTGGTACACATACTCGTATTGGTATATTACCGTGCAACTAGTATACTAATACACAAAAAATACCTTCGCGAAGGAAGCATTGTCAGCTACATATTTAGTCAATGATAATTTCCACATCGCTACGATACACTCGAAATAGACCTAACCTACACCTAACGTATGAAGATCGTAGCTGACAGAATAAGTTAACATTTAAAGTCAATAATGTTTGACCTTGAAACACAGAGAAGGCTGATGGGTTCTTGGCGTTTAATCGGTGGAAGCAGAGTGAAGTTGCTACCACCGACCGCACTACTAGTATACAACTCAGGCCTTCATTAAATGACATAACTAAAGATCACAAGGTGTCTGCGGTTGATCAGATGTAACCATGGATGGTTGTGTCATTTTTGAGGTTATGTTCAAGTAGGTTGTCATCTTGCCTAACTGACCCTTATCTCCCAGTCGGACTGACCATGTGTGCCGGCCCTGTGACGTGAAGTTAACCCACTAATCACTGGTTCCCTGAGAGAGTGACCCTTTGTGTCAGCATGCCTGGGCAGACTAGCATAATGGGCCACTGCCCAACAGCTGGAGTGACCGTGTGTTTAGCCGCATATGTGAAACATAGAATATCTTGTATGCGGCGGTCAGTTAGTGCATTCACTACATTGAATTTACTTTGAGAATAGTCATATGAGTTTACCGATATTAGTTGATTAACCTATATTTTCTAATGGGAATTTGGTGTTACAAGAAAGGTATGATACGACAATGTATGCCGACCTGCTTTGCAATGTTGTTTCAGAGTGGGACGGAAGGTCACAGTGTGTGATACTGTCATCGTGGCTTGACACAGGACCTTTACACCGGTGTATGTGAGTAGATGTTTGCAAACAACATAACGTATGCTAAGGGTAGAGCTACAGTGTTGCCGAATGCCGGTAGGACAGAACACTCCAATCCTGTTCACGAACACATTATTTCATCATTGATTTTCAATAATTTTGTCTATTCATATAATTGTCACCGCTATTTTGCCTTTTACGCCCAATGGAATCTGTTTCGGCGGATAATCGAGACTGGTTATTCTCTGGCGTTGACGTTTTATATTGTTGGCCTTGACCTTCTCCCAGTTGAGGCGCTTAAGAACAGCACATGTACCGACATTCTTTTCAGACTTTTTACTTTTTGCTTCGAAAACAATACATGCCCAGAAACGTGGCGCACTAGTGTTATTAACCCGATTAAAAAAAAACTGATACCAATCCACGTGATCCGTTAAGTTATCGAGGTATTTCCCATGTAAGTTATACGCCGATGTTTTTAACACTCGTTTAAGCCGCTGGTTAGAAACTAGTAACGTTCTTGCTGATGAACAAAACGGTTTTCGTTCTAAGCGAGGTACTCAAGAGCATATATTGAGTTTATTTTCCCTTTTCAATAATAGACAATCCACTTATGTTTGTTTCATTGACGCGATGAAGGCGTTTGACAAAGTGAATCGTTCATGTTTATGGTATAAACTTCGTCGGCTTGGTGTCAATGGTAGATTTCTTCATGTTGTGCAAGCAATGTATGATAACACCTGGTCACGTGTAAGGATAAATAATTGCTTAACAGATCCGTTTCCAGGGGAGTTAGACAAGGATGCGTGTTATCTCCGACATTGTTTTCTGTGTTTATTAACGATCTCGCAGAAGAAATTAATAAACTTAAGTGTGGTATTCAGGTAGACGATAATATGTTATGTATTTTACTGTACGCGGACGACGTAGCTTTGATTGCTGAAATTTCCTTACAGCGTATGTTAGACTGTGTCTCTCGCTGGGCAGCACAATGGCGTTTAAAAGTAAATGTGAAAAACACTAAGGTTGTTCATTTCAGGCCGCCATCTGTTAAAAGATCGGAATATTTCTTTACTATTGGCTATTCTCTAATTGACATTATTAACGCCTATAAATATTTAGGATTTTGGCTTCATGAGCATTTGGATATCACTTATTCTGTTAAGGAATTGGCAAAATCAGCAAATAGAGCTCTTGGTGTTCTTATCTGTAAATTTAAATTAGCGGGTGGTTTGTCATTTTCAGTTTTTAATAAACTGTATGATAATCTTGTTCAGCCTATACTTTCGTGCGGTTCGGCTATCTGGGGCCTCAAGCAATTCAGCTGTATTAATTCTGTTCAAAACAGAGCTGTTCGTTTCTTCCTTGCGGTTAACAACAAAACTCCAAATTTATCCGTCCTCGGCGAAATGGGGTGGACGAGCCCACTTACTAAACAGCATATTGAAATATTTCGTTTTTGGCGGCGAATTCAAGAGGTCGATCCTAATAGACTTCTTTATTGGATTAGTAAATGGTCTACAAAATTCCGTAAATCCTGTGTAAACAATGTTTTGGATTCGCTTAATAGTTTAGATCTAACTGTCTCTGACGGTCTGCACTTAACCCAATTCGATTTTACCCGTCTAAAATATAAGCTATTAGCGTTAGATGAGCATAATTGATATTCAGAATTGTGGAATGATAGAGGTTAACAAAATGGAAATAAGCTTCGTACTTATCGATTGTTCAAACACTCGTCTGCTGAACACTATGTTACATGTATTATGAACAGGTCTCATCGTAGTATCCTTAGCAAGTTACGCTGCGGCACATTACCCTTACAAGTTGAAATTGGTAGATTTGCTAAACCTATCACACCTTTATAGGATAGAATTTGTAAATTATGTAATAATAAAGCTGTAGAGGATGAAATACATTTTCTCATTAACTGTCCATTTTATTCTGACTTGAGATATGATTTATGGTCGAGAATTATAAAGTCTAAGCCCATATTTATTTATTTCTCTCCTGTGGACCAGTCAGTGTTCTTAATGAACTGTAACACGTATATAAAACCTCTTGCCGCACTTATTTAAAAAATGTAGGCAACTTTTCCTTACTTAAAATTGTAATTCATTTTTATTGGGCTTTGCAATCCTATAACTTATAATTCTCTTATATGAATAATGTTTTTGATTGTCCATTGTGTCTCATCGGCCTTTCATGGCCTGATGTTGTATGTTTTTACGCAAGTGTTTATGACTAATGTGTACACATACAACATGTGACACATAAATAATATATATACAGTAAACTACGGTTAGAGCGAACTCAAAGGGACCACAAATTCTAGTTCGTTATAACCGTAATTCGTTATAAGCATATATACAGCATATATACAGCAAATGCCAGGGACCTAAAAACCAGTTCGTTATATCCGCCATTTCGTTATAAGCGTGTTCGTTATAACCGTACTTTACTGTATATCTATGTCTATATTTAACGACTGATTGGTAATGTTGTTACATAGTGTCTGTTTAGCTACACATGGCAATTGAATAAATGAATCTCTATGCGCAGTATACCAGAATATTAAAAACAACCCCAGGGATATAAAAAAATATATGATAAAGTATTGGCAGCAAGTGTTTTGCAATATCGAAACTATGAACATCAACTTGTTTATCACAAGACAAATACCGACTAACAAATACATGGTTAATATTTCCCAATTTATAATATACTTGCAATGTATATCAGCTGTTATAGAATACATAAACATTTGTGAATGGACAACGTTAACATCATATATACATTGTATTGATTTCTATTTGTTTGCTGTATGAAATTAACAAAAACAGGTTACCCTTCAGGGTAGGGATATCGAGTGTAATATACAACCCAACGTTTGTTTATGATCAAGTTTTGATGATATCAAGAAATCATTCAACAAATAAAGATTTAAATATCATGGTACACAATGATTCGGTGACCCCTGTTGGAACTCAATTTCACGATGAACGGATAGAGGCATATACTCATGGACACGATGTAGGCGAGGTGCTTGAAGACTTGTGTTTGGATGTATCGTGACAAATGCACATCATTATCACAGAGCACAACACCATTTGGTACTAATGATTGCAACCAAATGCACGTATGCCCCCTCAGCGTCAAAGAGTGAGTGAGTGAGTGAGTGAAATTTAACGTCACATCGGCAATATTTCAGCCATATCGTGACGAAACAGTTATAATAATTATATTTTGATTTAATTAAAAAGCTGTCAACGATGGACAGTAAGATAACTAGAGTACCACAGTTTCGATTTTAAAACTAGTTGAGAACAGTTAAAAGAATACATTTTCATTCAACAATACAATATAAAAAAGGGCTATAGATCACCAGCAACCAAAGTGAGGCCACCTCACTAGGGACCGTGGGGACTTACATTACTTTTGCTACCTGCACGGCTCCCCAGCAGGATTTACACCAACACTTCAGCTGCTGGTGATGGGATGCAATTAAGCCAACAATTAAAATAAACAAATATACTACGTTTAAAACCGATGTAAGAATAAATGTACTTGGAATGATGTGGTCTTACATACCCTCGTAGGGGGACAATAATAAAGTGAATCAGAAAAGATAATGAACCGTTTATGTTTAGATTGGGTATTTATATATTTGAGAGCAGTTAATATTGCCTGTGATTACGCTGTAAAAATGGAACTGTCAATCGGTAATCTAGATGATATGGTTCTGGATCCAATGACAGTGGCGCTGGCAACAGCGTCACCATCCTTGGACCCATCCGTAAATATGGATTTGTAAGTATTATATGTGTTCCTTAATTCATTATATTGTTGTTGATAAATTAGTTGATTAGTGTCAGATTTCTTCAGTTTAGCTAAAGTTAGGTCCACCTCTGGATGTACTAACTGCCATGGTGGAGAAGAGAAAAGCTGAGTGGGGGCTATATTACCAAGGTTTATATTAGCAGCAGAAGTATCAGCTTGTAGTCGTATCCCTAGTGGTGGAAGAAGAGAAGATTTTGTTTTGTAGAGATTACCATAAAGGGGATTAAAAACACAGTCATATGCTGGATTGAAGTCATTAGAACGTAATTTAGAGATATATTGTAGAGCTAATTTAATGCGACGGTGTTTTAGGGAAGGCTCGTCAGCTTCCACATACAAAGTGAGTGAGTGAGTGAGTTATGATTTTACATCGCATCGGCAATATTGCAGCCATATCGCGATGAGAACAAGTTTATTGTTATAAAAATACCTGTCGACAAAGGACAGTAAAACAGTAAGGGAATTATCACAGTGTAGACATAAAACTTACCTGAGCAATATTAAAACAAAGAAGTTTTCAGTGTAGTAGTTATTTGAAAGTAAAACCAGGCTATAGACCACTTGTAACCAAACCTAGACCACCTAGCTGGGGATCATGGGGACTTACAATACTTTTGCTTCCTGCATGATTCCCAGCAGGATTTATGTCATCACTTTGGTCACTTGTGGTTGTATGAAATATTAACCAATATTAAAAATGCAAAACACAATCAAGGAATTAAAACACTAGTTGATATTAAGTACTTCAATATAGATGGAATTATGTGCCACAGTCAGGGGGACAATAATTTTACACTACTTTAACCCCCTGAGTGGCACCGCCTTCATACATTTCAGTTGACAAGAATATCCAACTATTCTAAAACAATTCAAAATTTATCAAATAATAGTATTTCTTTTAAAAATCCGAGTATTAAATGAGCACTGGTATTATAAAAAAGATCCTTTAAAGACGTTGAATGATAATAGTTGTCCCTTATGAGAGAAAAATCAACACAGTCAAGCAAAACATGCTTGACTGTGATTCTCTCATCACAAGGGACACAAAATGGAGGATCCTCACCTTTTAAAAGATACTCGTGTGTACATCGACTGTGTCCAATACGACATCGTTGCAAAACAACTTCATCATGTCTCGAATGGCAACCCAAGTAGGTATACCCTATTGTTGGTTTTATAGCATAAAGTTT